ACAGATCCCAAGAATTCATCGCTTCCCCAGAAACGTGAGTAGCCTCTTCCTATCTGTGTTGATCACTTGCCCAGAGCTACATGGGCATGGGGTCCCGGGGCCATATTGGCTGGCCCCATCTCGGCCATCTCGGCATAATTGATATATGCCAGCTGCCACCGCCCAGCCAGCCCTTCCTGAATGACAGGGGCCTCTGAGAACAAGGAAGAAGCAGATGTGAGGGGTGTGACAAACTCTACCAGCTGGCTATCAAAACCCAAGCGTATCCCCCTAAGCCAGGCACTTGCTGGGGCAGATTCCTGAAATGTGGAGGAGGGAGAGGGCCAGCTTAGAGGGTGCTACTGCAAACCCTAGGGAGTCGAGCTGTGGCAAGACAGACCAGGAGCCCGCTCTCAGAAGTCCTGACACATGTCTGGGAAAGGCAGCACTCCACCGTCCTCGCTCCCCCGTCATCACTAGTGACCATGTTGATCCTTTTCTGCAGGTGACATGCATGACTTTTTTGTGGGACTTATGGGCAAGAGGAATATCCAGACAGGTATGAGTGCGTGTAGGTACACTGGGAGGGTGGGGTACAGGGGAGGACACGACAGACATCGAGGGAAGATCAGGATCTCTCTCAGCCCTCTGAGAAGTTCCTCCGCCACTTCTTCTCCATTAGCATGGATCCCCAGGCAAGCCCTCCCCCGGGAGCAGACCATCCTAAGTCCTGCCGCAGCTTCCTCCCTCCCAGTTCTTCCAACTCTGTCTCCCAGTGCTGCCCTTCATAGCCAGCCTTTTGCTGTTGGGTTAAGGTGAGGTCACATTTAGAAATACCTTCCTGGGCCAGCCCCATGGCCTCATGGTTAAAAGAGTTGGATCTCCACGTGGCTGACTGTGATTTGAGTCTCGGTCCCTGCAGCTCGAAAAACACACTGGGTGAATGTGCATCCCCCTCTCACCACCCAATCCCGACAGGATAGAGAAATAGGGGAAAAGGAGTTGTGGTGTGACCAAGCCTCATTGTGGGGTGCCTTTTCCCTTTCGTCTGTCTCTCTGGCAAGCACACGTACCCTCAGACAAAAAAAAAGGGGGGGAGAACCCTTCTAACTACATCATTTATTTCACTATAGGCACTGAAGGGAATCAAGAGAATGCCCCAAGGTTTGGCACCCTCAAGTTCCCCCCCAGTGCAGAATGAGGTGAGGATTGTTGGTTGGAGAGAGGGGAGAGAGTGTGAGTGGGGGGATGAGGTGGGGAGGAGGCTGCCAGCTGGGCATTTCCTGTGATGCTACAGAGATTGATGTTGGAAAATGTGCCCTAAATGCACTGCGTACTTACAGTCATGCGGGAATGCACATACACCCACTCCTCTTTTTCATCTTTCCTCCGGGTCATGGACCCTGACTGAGTGAGTGGTAGGAAATGGGCGGAGAAGGGCTTCCCCTGGGCTTCTCTGATGGGCAGCTTCTGCTGTTTGGACTCTGTTCTCTTGTGATTGGAATGAAAGATGGAGAGATCCTCATCTGATAATTACAGGTACCCCATCCGACTCACGGGTGGCGTGTTTGTCTCCAGGCAGGCTGAACAATCCAGATCATTCAGAATCCTAGGGTCCTGGACCCAGAGTGTGTTCATACACAGGGGCAATTACGAGGAGGGTGATTAGGATGTTAGAAAGAAATGCAAGGAATCCTGAAGTCTAACGGGGGGCGGGGGGGGTGTAGCAGGAAACTCTTAGTCTCTCTGTGTAGCCCAAGGTTGAATCCTGGATCTGCCACTCTCTAACTGTGTCCCTGTGGCCAATTTACATAACTCTTCTGCCTCATTTTCTCTTCTGAAAAATGGGGATGATTGTAGTGTCTCACAGCATCACTGTTGAGAGCTGGACGTAGGTGAAGTGTTCAGAACAGCACCTGGCGCACAGCCCTGTGCGTTAGCTTTGCTGTGACTGACCTGGTTGTGTGTAGGGGTGTGCGTGCCCTAGTGTTTCCTGTAGCTGGCTCTGATCTGTCTGCCTGGGGCTGTCTGGGCTGGCCCCTAGACCTGAGTGGGCTGGCAGTTCCCATTTGCTATGTCAGTGTGAGAGTCCCCCAGGGAAGTGTCTAGTCAAAACATGGAACCTTCTGCCTTGACACCATCTTCACACACACACACACACACACACACACACACACACACCCTGGGGAATAGCAGCTCTGTTGATGGCTTTGTTTTCACTAGCTTCCAAAGACAGGAAGTAGGGGTAGGGGGAAGGGAGAGGAGGAGGGATTAGAGACCGAACAATCACAGAGAAACTCCTGCCTCTCGCCCAATGTCCCTATTACCCACACACATTGGTCTCAAGGTGACCAGACCAAGACCCAGGGTCTGGCTCTGTGCATGACTGCCCTGGACTAGAGACTGGGTCCGGCCCCCCATTTACTGTTGGGTGAGAGGGCACGAAGAGCTGTAATAACCGTAACTCGCTGATTACACGGTACTTACCGTATCATTTTGCTCTCATTAGATGGTTATTTCAGTCCTGCCGACGGCCAGATAATTATACGGGCAGCTATATCTGGATGACATACACTCCTCCAGCGTTATGCACCGGCCATAAAGATAATTACAGTGCAATTTTGCCATAGTATTTTATACAAATGGCAAAAACAAGTGCATTGTGGAAATCTACTTTTAATGCTTGCTGGTGAATCCAGGCTCTTTCAGAGGGGCCAGGCCCATAATTGCAGCTTTCATAATCTTACCACTGATAGAGCATTCTCAACCTGTTAGGTACCAGGCAGAATAGGACATGAGGTCTGGGAGCTGGCATTTAAAGGAGATTAGACAAGATGGATCAACACAGATTATTGTGTCATCTGATTTCATTCATGCGAAACTGCTGAGAAAGGAAGTGATCCCTGAGCCTGTCCTTCCTCGGAGAGTTTCCTGGGAAGAGGAGGAGGGGCTGGACGAGACAGGGGGAGCTTCAGTACCAGGGCACGTTGGACAGGGCTGTGTATGTCCTGGCTCGTGGGGTTGCAACAGGCTATGACCCACATCTCTCTGCAGAGTCCCCACAGACCGTGCACACAGGTGTTTAGAGCAGCGTGCTAAGTACCGCAGCTGGGATGGTGCGAGCACCTGCCCTGGAGAGTGCGTTCTCTAGCTGCAGTAGAAGGCTGAAGGGAAAGCTGAAGATGAAGATTTCTTTCTCTTCTGGGGCCGGCAGGTGGGGTAGTGGTTAAGTGCACTGGACTCCCACATGGTCAACTGTGGTTCGAGTCCCAGACCTGGTGGCTTGCTTTCTTTCTCTTCTCACAGCGTCACCATTGAGAGCTGGATGCAGGTGAGGGGTTCAGAACAGCACTTGGTGCACAGGTGCTGTCCCTCTCTGGTCAAGTTAAAATAAATAAATAAAGTGAAATAAAATAATTATTAAAAAAAAAAAAATCTCTCTGGGACCAGCAGTTAGCGTAATGGCTATGTCGCTGAACTCCCATGTAGTTGACTGTGGTTCGTGTCCCAGACCCGGTGGCTTAAAACTCACGCCGGGAGCGTGTGTGTGCGTGCCCAAGATCCCGAGAGGAGAATGGAGGAGAAGGGATTGCGGCGTGGCCATCCCCCCTGGGGGGTGATTTCTCGCTTTCTGTCTCTCTGTCTCTGTCTGTCTGGCGAGCACACGCCCTATAGCAAAAACCTCTCCAAAAAAAAAACCCTCTCTCTTCCCTTGCAGGTGTCTCTCCCCTCCTTCCCTGCTCCCTCAGCAGGTGGTCGGTGGGAGTATTACAGGACATAAAATGTGATTTTGATTTCATTTTTTTGTTTTCTTTTTTGGTCCCCAGTACTTCACTTCCGGACCTCAGGGCTGCATCATGAAGACATACTCTGTCTCCCTGCCCCAACCCCCAGCTGCATGCGCCTCTCCTCTTTCTCACTCTTGTAACATTTCTCTGCTTGGCCTCCTTCCTGCCCAGCCTGGTGTAGAAACTGTATAGTGACGATCCCTAAAACGAACTGACTGTAGATTCCTCTGGAGTTTCCGTAGGATCCTATGTTAACAATGTCATGTGTCTAATCTTTCACAATAAAGGATTTTTACATATGGCTGAGAATGACATATGTGTTTGGTTGGTGGGTTTTCTTTTCCTTGACTCTCTGCTATATCATGTGCATATGTGCATACATATGTACAAAGGTACAGCACACGCACTCTGTAGGTAACTGGAAATGTCTTTATTTCCCATTAAAGTTTATTTACTTCCTACATGACAGAGAGACAGATAGACAGACAGACAGAGGAACAGGCACCCCAAACAAGGTCCTCATGCTGATCTAGCCCTAGTGAACCCAAGGAAGTCCTGAGATGCCAACCAGGGCCTTTCCCTTGTGGGTTCACTTGTGTTACCACTGTGCCATCACTTGACCCCTGGACACATATTGATTTTCCCAACAGCACATTACATAGTGTTTTGCACAATTAGTATCAGATTTATTTAGTGATTTAAAAGATAAACTGTGAGGACCGGCAGTTGGCATAATGGCTCTGTCACTGAACTTCCATGTAGTTGACTGCGGTTTGAGCTCTGGACCCGGTGGCTTAAATTCACGCCGGGCACGTGTGTGTGCGTGCCCCAGATCCTGAGAGGAGAATGGAGGAGAAGGGATTGCAGTGTGGCCATTCCCCCAGGGGGTGATTTCTCACTGTCTGTCTCTCTGTCTCTCTGGTGAGTGCACGTGCCCTGTAGCAAAAACCTCTACAAAAATAAATAAATAAATAAATAAATAAACTTGGAAGATGGTTCCTAACACTCAAAGATTTTCATTGACCACTTCAGATAAGAAAAAAACAGTTATTCTGAATGGCTTGTCTGTATTTCTAGGGTGGACCGGGGAGATACCAGTCCCTGAATCTGATCCTCCCTACTCAGGGGGGGAGGGATCAAGGCTGTGCAAAGCCCTAGTCACAGACTGTTCCATTTCTTTATCTCTAAGTGTTGGGCTTGGGTTCTGAGATGATGCTAGGGATGAGATGGTGACCCACCCACAGCGTTTACAGGCCAGCAGGGCTGTGAACAAGCAAACAGAATGAGATTCAGGTAGAATGGAGGTAGACAGGAAATTTACTGCAGAGCCTAAGAAGGAGGGAAGCAGACACCTTTAGCATCAACTGCCTGCCTTAGTGATTATATAGGGAAAAGATTTATTTCAGACTTGTCCGTTATGTGCCTGTTACCAGCCCTGTAATGCTGGCCTAGTGCCCCAAATGAGGCACTTAAATGCAGTTAGCACGAGTGTGGGTATTTCTTATAATGATGTGCCAACTATCACACTCATGGTCCTGGGGGGAGGGAGTACTCTAATGGAACAGCCTGGGAAATCCTCAGACATCCTATCTTAGCCTGGTACCGGGGTTTTGGTTATGCCCCTGAATTGTGCTGACACCGAGTGGACACTCTGGCCTTCCAAGGCAATGTAAGAACAGGGTCACAGAGGCAGAGGCCACTCCCTGCAGTTGTTTCACCTAGTGAAAGTTCTGTCTTTCTAGAACCCGACTGGGGCCACTTTGGACTGATGGCTGTACAGTGGGGGTGGGAGTGAAGGAAGAGCTCACCTCAGCGTTGCTGGCATCAGCTTTACAACCAGAGGTCAAAGAATGCACCCACTCCAGATCCTAGAGTCTTTCTCCGGTGAGTCATCTCCTTGACATTTCAGTTATATATCTATAAAGTTTAAAAGTAGGGACACTTCTGCAGAGTCTGGAGAATTTCTCTGGGTCATGACAACTTCGAGACTGGGTTCTGCTCTGAGTTGGTGGGAGGGAGTCAGGCATCTGTACTGAGATGAGACAATTGTTTTGCCAAGTAGGAGCATAAATGCAGAAAGATTGCTCTCTGGTGGGACTGACAAAAATTGCAGTACTGGGAATTAAAAAAAAAAAAAAAGACAAATTTTAAATTAGATTCCTGTTTACTGAGAAATTGTGAAGGGATTCTGACCCTCCACTTCCTATTGTAAAGAGGTTGGTGCCCAAAGAGACCTGGTCAACAGAACCTGGATGATGTTCCTGACCATGACTTCTCCATTTAGATTTGTTTATGTTTGTTGCCACCACTGTGTGGTGATTTACATTTTTTTTTTTGAGAGATTTTTGCTGTAGGGGGCATGCACTCACCAGAAGGTCAGAGAGAGAGAGAGAAACAGAAAATAAGAAATCACCCTCCAGGTGGGACGGCCATGCTACAATCCCTTCTCCATTCTCCTCTCAAGATCTTGGGCACACACACACACATGTGCCTGGCGTGAGTTTAATTCTGGGTCCAGGATTTGAACCGCAGCCGACTACATGGGAGTCCAGCAACATAGCCATTATACCAACTGCTGGTCCTGAGGTAATTTACTTTTAAAAGACTTAAGCCTGTTGCTGGTGGTTTAGACAGTCAGATCCCACATGACTGACAGTGCAGTTTGAGCCCTGGATCTGGTGGTTTGAGAAACATACAGTGTGTGTGAGTGTGTGTGTGTGTGTGTGTGTGTGTGGGAGGGAAGCAGACACCTTTAGCATCAACTGCCTGCCTTAGTGATTATATAGGGAAAAGATTTATTTCAGACTTGTCCGTTATGTGCCTGTTACCAGCCCTGTAATGCTGGCCTAGTGCCCCAAATGAGGCACTTAAATGCAGTTAGCACGAGTGTGGGTATTTCTTATAATGATGTGCCAACTATCACACTCATGGTCCTGGGGGGAGGGAGTACTCTAATGGAACAGCCTGGGAAATCCTCAGACATCCTATCTTAGCCTGGTACCGGGGTTTTGGTTATGCCCCTGAATTGTGCTGACACCGAGTGGACACTCTGGCCTTCCAAGGCAATGTAAGAACAGGGTCACAGAGGCAGAGGCCACTCCCTGCAGTTGTTTCACCTAGTGAAAGTTCTGTCTTTCTAGAACCCGACTGGGGCCACTTTGGACTGATGGCTGTACAGTGGGGGTGGGAGTGAAGGAAGAGCTCACCTCAGCGTTGCTGGCATCAGCTTTACAACCAGAGGTCAAAGAATGCACCCACTCCAGATCCTAGAGTCTTTCTCCGGTGAGTCATCTCCTTGACATTTCAGTTATATATCTATAAAGTTTAAAAGTAGGGACACTTCTGCAGAGTCTGGAGAATTTCTCTGGGTCATGACAACTTCGAGACTGGGTTCTGCTCTGAGTTGGTGGGAGGGAGTCAGGCATCTGTACTGAGATGAGACAATTGTTTTGCCAAGTAGGAGCATAAATGCAGAAAGATTGCTCTCTGGTGGGACTGACAAAAATTGCAGTACTGGGAATTAAAAAAAAAAAAATACAAATTTTAAATTAGATTCCTGTTTACTGAGAAATTGTGAAGGGATTCTGACCCTCCACTTCCTATTGTAAAGAGGTTGGTGCCCAAAGAGACCTGGTCAACAGAACCTGGATGATGTTCCTGACCATGACTTCTCCATTTAGATTTGTTTATGTTTGTTGCCACCACTGTGTGGTGATTTACATTTTTTTTTTTGAGAGATTTTTGCTGTAGGGGGCATGCACTCACCAGAAGGTAAGAGAGAGACAGAGAAACAGAAAATAAGAAATAACCCTCCAGGAGGGAAGGCCATGCTACAATCCCTTCTCCATTCTCCTCTCAAGATCTTGGGCACACACACACACATGTGCCTGGCGTGAGTTTAATTCTGGGTCCAGGATTTGAACCGCAGCCGACTACATGGGAGTCCAGCAACATAGCCATTATACCAACTGCTGGTCCTGAGGTAATTTACTTTTAAAAGACTTAAGCCTGTTGCTGGTGGTTTAGACAGTCAGATCCCACATGACTGACAGTGCAGTTTGAGCCCTGGATCTGGTGGTTTGAGAAACATACAGTGTGTGTGAGTGTGTGTGTGTGTGTGTGTGTGTGTGCATGTGTGCCTAAAATCCCAAAAGGAGAGAGGCATGGAGGAGAAGGTGATATGGAGAGACCCTGAATTCATAAATAACTCAGGGCTGATAGCTGCCTGAAGTTTCTGCCTTCCTGCAAATTTACTGCCCCTCCCTGGAGCTACAGGGTAACCTGCAAACCCTGAATAGATTAGACTTCCTGCTTCTCTGCCTCCTCCCTTTGATGCTGCTTAGGGCGAGTTCTGAGCTCCTTCCTCATTCCTTACATCTTGAGACCTCCCCTTCCCCAATTCCCCTATAAAAGACTGTGTCCAACCCCCAGTCGGGGCTGGAGATTCAGAGTGTTAACTCCTCTGTGCCTGCCAGTGTAATAAACAATTTTCCTAATCTCTCTGAGTGCTGCTTTCTGTTCCTCGGAATCTTGTTTTCTGCTACAAAGGGTTTGTGGCATGACCATACCCCATGCAGCGTGCTTTCTTGCTTTTCTTCTTTCTGGTGAGCACATGTGCCCTCTGGCAAAAATTAAAAGAAAAAGGGACCAGCAGATGGTGTAATGGTTATGTTGCCGGATTCTTACTTAGTTGACCATGGTTCAAGTTCCAGACCCAGTGGCTTAGAAGTCACACTGGGCATATGTGTGTGTGTACCCAAAATCCTGAGGGAAGAATGGAGGAGAGGGGATTGCGGTGTGGCTATCTTCCCTGGGGGATGATTTCTCACTTTTTGTCTCTGTCTCTTCAGAGAATACACATGTCCCATAGCCAAAATTTCTCTCTAAAAAAAAAAAAAAAAGAAGAAGAAGAAGAAGAAGAAGAAGAAGAAGAAGAAGAAGAAGAAGAAGAAGAGGAAGAAAGAAAAGACTTGAGTATAAACAGTATGAACTTTCATTACACCCTTGGGTGGTTTGTTAACATGTGACGTTTATTAGGGTCAACACTCCAGAGATGGTGAAGGCAGTTGATTAGAAAGATTGGCTAGTCCAAGGCCCTTGCAGACCTTGCAGCCTAATGTCTGTAGAGTCATGCTGAAGGTCTGGTGCCTGCAGGCTGTGTCATATCCCCTTCAGTATAAACAATATGAACTTTCATTACACCCTTGGGTGGTTTGTTAACATGTGACGTTTATTAGGGTCAACACTCCAGAGATGGTGAAGGCAGTTGATTAGAAAGATTGGCTAGTCCAAGGCCCTTGCAGACCTTGCAGCCTAATGTCTGTAGAGTCATGCTGAAGGTCTGGTGCCTGCAGGCTGTGTCATATCCCACTTCAGAGGACTCTGTCACCTCATCAAACTGTGGGGACTGGGCCTACCACTTGGAAGGTTGTATCAGCCTCTTAGTGATCCTTTCACTAGGGGTAAAGGAGATCCCCTGACCCCAAGTGATAAGAGTCATGTGGCTTTGTGTCTCCTAGTTAATTAATGTTACATGTGAGGCCATCAGTTTGTATAGTGCTTGCTTCCAGTATAATCTACCACTAGTAAGTAGTGGACAGGGAGGTTGTAGAAAAGAAGACAATGCCCCAAATTCATCAAGAGAACTTGTGGTCGCTGAATGACCAAACTGGCTTAGATCAGTTGGCCACATCCTGTGTGTCCCTTCATCCCCATTTATCCATCAAAGAATTACTGAACCTACTGTGTGTCTGTCCTAGGGGGTCTGTGCTTGTCTGCAGCTATTCTTATATTAGTAGACAGATAGGATGGGATGGGATGGGGTGCAATTGAAGAGAAGGTGAGACTGAGAGATTTTGGAGTTTGAGGGCTTCCTGTATTGAGGAAGGAGAGCCAAGTGACCCAGACTTCTGATGTCTTTTGTTGGGGGTGCGCAGCGTAGATACTTTTGGTTTGATAACAATTCTGCCCAGGAGCATTTGAGAAGAGAATCTGGGGAAAGGGTGGGAAGGCTAGTGAGGAGTTCTAGAAAGAGCTAGGGGGTTGTGGTAGTAGGTGGTGTGGTTGACTGTGATTCAAGTCCCAGACTGGGGCTTGAAACTCACGTGGAGCACGTGTACATGCCTACCCCAAATGCTGAGAGAAGAATGGAAGAGAATGGATTGCTGAGTGGAGGGTGATTTCTTGCTTTCTCTCAGATAGAAAGAAGAGGACAGTGCTCGTGCCCTATAGCAAAAAAACAAAACAAAACAAAACAAAAAAACACAACCTCTTTTAACAATGAAAGCCAGAAAGAAAGAGAGAGAGAAAGAAAACGAAAGAAAGAGAAAGGGCTGGGTGGGACAGGTTTCATGAGGGGTGCAGGGGCATCCCGCGCCTCCTTCAGTTTGCCACCTAGGTAGGAGAAAGGACAGCAGCGGATCATCAGAAGGGTCCACCAGCGGTCTTAGTCCTCAAGCGCCCCTCCCTCCCTCCCTCTCTCCCTCCCTTTCTCCCTCCCTTCCTCCCTCCCTTCCAACAGGCTTTTCCTGGTAGCTGTGCCAGGAGAGCAGCAGCGTGGAGACAGGCCTGTGCAAAACCTCAGATCCCTGCCTTCTGGAAGCTCCCAGCCTGGTGGAGGAGACATAATCAAAAACCGTACAACTTTCTGTGAAACGACAACAGCCTGCGTTCTGAGACGCTTTCGGAACTCTGAGGCTTAGAGCCGGGGAGGCGATGGAAGCTTAGCCGGGAAGGGGCGTCTTCGCCCTCCAAGCGCGGGGCCCGGGAGGGAGCAGTCCTCCTGGGCTGGGCGGTGCGGCCCTGGGCAGAGCCGGCCTGGAGGCTGGCATCGCC